AGTAACACTCGTTACCACACATATCAATGATCGCGATTCCGGAAAGAACAAAAAAATTATGACGATTCCAAATTCCAATCAATTAAATCGATAAACCGTTAAACACCAACGAATTAAACTATCCGACTGCCGGCAAACTCGTCTTCAACCAAAAGCACAAACTTTAAGGCAAACTACGGATGCCACAGCAGTCGAGGCAACGAGCTGCTGTCTGAACCTGACCCTACCTCTTAGTATAGACCTAGCCCTCTCATCCGAATCAAACGCAGAGAAAGTCTGGCTATGGATCACCTACTGTTCTATTCTACGATGGCATATGCGATCAACCGCCTGCCTCCACACGAGGCTTGGAAGTCGCCGATGCAGATTCCTATACTGTAACTAGTAATGAATCCCGCCCACACTTCAGTACTTGTAGTCCTTAACGTGCAGACTCTCTGACGCTCCCTCGATCGCGGGAGCGCCACTGTATTTGCCGAGTGTCGCCTCTCCGTTACCCTTGGCACGCACATAGAACGCCTTCTGCGCTGCAGCAACATTCTCCACCTTGCCTCCCCATGCCTTGAGCGTGCTCGCCTGCAGCGCCCTGCCGTACGAGAAGGACAGCGTCCATGGCGTCGTGGCTTCCAAGGCGTTCATCGCGTTCAGATTCATAGTCGCCTCCTCCTCGCTCTGCCCGCCCGACAGAAACATGATCCCGGGAASGGCCGSGGGAACCGTCCTYTGCAACGTCCTCACCGTGTACTTGCCCACGACCTCCGGCGCCACCTTCGCAGCGTCCGATCCCGGCGTCACCATGTTCGGCTTCAGCAGCGTGCCCTCCAGCAGCACGTGGTGGTCGCTCAGAGCCTTGTACACCGCCGCCAGCACCTTCTCCGTCACAGCGGCGCTCTTCTCGATGTCGTGCGTGCCATCGATCAGGATCTCCGGCTCCACGATCGGCACCAGCCCGTTCTCCTGGCAGATGGACGCGTACCTGGCCAGCCCCTCCGCGTTCGACTGGATTGCAAGAGGCGTAGGACATCCGTCTGCGCTGATCTTCAGGACGGCGCGCCACTTGGCGAAGCGCGCGCCCGCCTGGTAGTACTTGGCACACCTGGCGCCCAACCCGTCGTGCCCTTGCGTCGTGGTCTCGCCCTTCGTGCCTGCCAGGGCCGCAACGCCGGTGTCGACCTTGATGCCAGGGACCACATCGGCCGCCTTGAGGACATCGACGAAAGGCTTCCCGTCTGCCGTCTTCTGGTAGAGCGTCTCCTCGAACAGAATCACGCCGCTGATGTACTGCATCGCCCCAGGAGCGGTGAAGAGAAGCTCCCTCAGAGCCCTCCTGTTGGATTCCACATTCTTCACGTTGATGCTGGCCAGTCTCTTCCCGATGGTGCCCGTGCTCTCGTCAGCGGCGAGGATACCCCTCCCAGGGGTCGCAATTTTCTTCGCCGTGGCGATGAGCTCGTCCGCGTACTTGCCAACGTGAGCCATTTTCCTTGCTTCCGTCCTTCCTTCCTTTCTTGCTCCCGAATCTGATATGGACTCAGCGATGGCAATCGCTTCAGGCACTCGGTTGGAGGACAGGCGGATCATACGACAGCTTTTCTGTACCTCTCGGCTGAGTGGTCTCTGTATTTGTAGACTGATTCCTTCTGATTCGTCAGGGATGTCTTCCCTCATGTCGCCCACAGGCCCTCTCCATGACGAATCTACCTCGCTCGTGCCCCTCGTGCGGAGGTCTAGTTCAGGTGTCTGGTATTTTTCAACGTCGTCAGACACTCGCCGTGAGATCTCGAGATCGAACGGCACGGACCCACTGATACTCAAAATCAGACTCAGCCTCCTCAAGTGGGTGCGGGCCGCGAAATCAAATGTCCGGTCCTTTTCTTTTTCTTTTGGAAAACTCCACTCGCCTTTGGTTAAGGGGGGGGGGAGCAATATGCATGCCCTCTAATGGCTGGAGGGAGCAATGGTTGTTTTGTTTTGTTTTTACAAAAAAGGAGTATATTTTATCATCACAAGCTGGGAAACGGGCCCAGCGTCCCTCACATCAATAACCACGGCCTGCCGTGATGAACCAGTCTCACCGGCCTGGATCAACCCCACAGTCTATCCTAAAAAACATCAAACCCTAATTAGCTCTAATTGACACTAAATAACCCAAGCAATGAAGCACAATCAAACCCTAATTAGCTCTAATTGAACCACCAGTACTTGGGCGACGCCTTAGCATTAACGCTACGTGATTTCCGCGGCCGGCGGGCCATCGATAAATCGAATCGACAGCCCGCGCTGCTTCGAGATTTGGGCGGCCGGCGCGGCGCGCAGTGCCCAAGTACTGGTGGTTTAACACTAATAACCCAAACAACGATGCACAACCCAAACAATGAAACACAAACCAACTAATACCATCGAAAAGAAAACGCTACCCAAAAATCTACACCACCGGCCCTAACCACTCAAGGAAGCGAACGAAAAAATTCCACCCACGAGCAAATACACGGTCAACAAACGAACACAATCCAATTATCCCTCGTAATATTCTCGAAAAAAGAGGCAAAGAGTTCACAAGGCACACCACACCCGAAGTAGGAGTATCAGCAACGCAAAGTAAGCAGATCGCAGCTTAAAGCCCGTTGTCAGCGACGATGGGCGATACCGGTCACAGCCAAACTCTAGTGTCGCTCTCTCGGAAGCCGGCGCTTGTCGACGCACACTCATCTCTCATCTCCGTACCAAAGTCAGGGGACGAAATCCCTGACAGGTTTCACATACTGGTATGTACGGCACCCAGATCCCGCCCTTTGGACCACCACACTTCTCCTCCTTCCTCACGTAGTTTCTTCAGGAATGCTAGCATACGCCAACCGGGACCAGGCTATGGCAGAAGCTTGTCAATGCTTCCTCGAGGCGGTCCCCACCCTGCGCCCACACGCTTCT